AGACAATCGGCCTCGTGCCAAACTGAAATGCCTCCCATCTTCCACAGAAACGAAAGATTTACAGACACAAACCTTTTTGGTTTCTGGTGATTCACATCTCTTTTTATATGAATATGTAACAATGTAGTTGTCAGGCTTTGTTTGTCCAACTAATACTGTGCTAGCAAACATCATGATCAAACTGTATCCAGACTGAAAGACATGTTGTGTTTTTGTATGTCAGTGTGATGCAGGTGAGCAGTGTGCAATACGTAAGGCTTCGAGAATCGGGAAGCTGTGTGGCTGTCCCGGAGGAACCGTTTGTAACTTCAGTGTCCTCAAGTGTCTGTAAAGTTCAAACACTAAAGTCCTGCTCTTCAGAGAATAAAGACACGTTTTTAAAATCGCCTCTCGTCTGTTTGTTTATTACCTTTAATAAAAAAATCATTACTGACAATCGAAACTTGTTTCTCTTTTAGCTTTTTTTATGAAGAAAAATTCAATTTGCACAGATACTACTGTATTTATAATGCATGATTACACGATCACACTTCAGTTATCTTTATTTATCAGTTTCTGGGTTATTTTAATGAACAACAGATGGGACGATATCGGTCTTAAGTTTGTACTTTTGCCGTACAGGGATTATTTGCACATAGTCTGACCTCTACCTTTTGCATACATGCAAACACTGACTTTGAAACTTTTTAATGACTATCCATCACTGAAACAGTACATATGAAAAATGACCAAAAGCAGAATAAGTCAACTTTAAAAGATTTTAAGATCACTTAGTAACAGCCAGAGTGTGTGGTGTTTGATGTTTAATGAAACTGACGTCAGCAGTGTAGCTGCCGGTGTGAAAAGCATTAAAAACAAAGTAACATCTGTGATAATCAAATTTCTGTCTGTACTTGTTTGATGTATGTACAAAAACCAGATAATCAGACAGGGTCCAGTTTTTGCATTAAGTTGAAAATTGCAAATTACATTAAATTTTCTGGTGACAAAAAATTTGTTGTGACCAAATAGAAGATTTAATACCTGAAAAAAGTTGCACACTGAACATGTTGTCATGTTTACCTCACAAGTACTTGAGTGAAATTAAAACCAGCAATATTTCCAGAACACTTACATTGCTCCAAGTGCTTCAACCTTTACTGCAACAAACATTTCAGATGTTCAACCTCCATTTCAACAGTAACATTTGAGGATATCCTGCAAAACCAACAGCTGCAATATTAAAACACTAAACTAGATCCTCAGATCTGAAGTAACATTCAGGTTATTTCAGTCGTCAAAATTTCCCAATGAAAGAGCAAAGTTTGAAATGTACAAAAAAATCTACTTTAATCCAAAACTGAGAAAAAAATATGGTGTTAACCTAAAACAATCCTCAGGTTTATTTAAATCGAAACGTTGACCCCCACCCCCACCCCCTCTGCCTAAAACAAAAGCATCTAATGAAAGTCATGAAAAGCCTGTAAAAGTCTTTGGATGAGTGAAGCTTCTAGCGCACAAAAAGGCATGCAACAAGCAAAACATCGTTCACACACTTAAACTTGATCGCAGCTGGCAGTAAAAATCTGACCTTGATCGGATTTCATTTAATGGAAATGGTTGTTCTAAAAATGGTCATATGTAACAGTAAAAAAGACAGTCAACAGCGTCCAGTGGGCAGTAAACGTCTCAGCTGTGGGGTAAAAAACAAAAGCAAGGTTTGTGTCCAGTCATTCAGCGTGATGCATCCCCACGGTAACCAGTTTGTTTGTTACGCAAAAAGTTTGTACAGCAGTCGGTATGTTAGTCCAGGCTCCGCTCCTCCTGCTGGACAGCAGTGCTCGCTGTTAGTACGACCGTTTCCATGTTCAACTCCTAAAAAGCAGAAAAAACAAGTTAAGTGATGGTTATCAGTAATTAACCTAAAATGCACTTTGAATGTGGGAGGGAACCCAGACAGAACCCACACACAGAACTGTAGCTGGACGATGGGAGTTGAACCCAGGACCTCTTTGCTGTAGAGGTGGCAGTGTTAAACCCTTTGCCACCACCAATAAAGTGGGTGTCTATTCACTCTGCATAATACAGTAAATAAATAATGAACATCTCCTGTGTGTCTTGATGCATGCTCAACCATCCAGGTAAGTCAAACCCAAAAGGTTGATTTTGTTATCAGGACGTTTTCAGTGGGAGAAACGTTTCGTCATCATCAGGTGACGTCTTCAGTCTCAGCTGACTGCAGGTTTCAATCTTATGAACAGAACATTGAAGGAACAATGGGCTGGGAGGTCAGTTTATGATCATTCAGATTCTCATGACCATTGATCAACATCTACTGAGCAAAGATACATCT